AAAGATGAAAGAAATATTATCACTGTTGAAAAACGCTGGCGAGACGGAATCTTCCCGAACTGCGATAAACCATGTAAGTAAGAGCCTACTTTACTTCGTGTTCTTATTTAGCCTTGCCTATTTATCTTTACATACAAAAGTTCAACAAAAATCATTTTCTACTTTACGTTTACGAGTTAATTGGTTTATTCTGAAAGTTTGCTTATTTTAGCAAATATTTTTTACATATTGTTAGTGATATTTATTTTCAAAAAGCCATGAAATAATTAACATAGGAAATAATGTATTAAATTAAGTGAAAATTAGTCACGCAAGTTGAACCAGTTAATTATTTCTTGAACAAAAAAAGAATAATTTTTCTTCTCGTATACATCCTAATTAAAATGAGGGTGTGTTTAAAATCATTTGTAATCCTATATATATATATATATATATATGAAAAGTTAAAGATAACTACTCTTAGGTATTAAATACACAAAAATATAATAGTTTTTGAAAAAAGAACTACATTATTTGTCGATTACTAGCACTTTCGCTTATTTTATTAAGCTCTTCGGATAGTCAACATTTTTGTAATACAATAATGATTATGACGTCATAGCGTCATAGTAACACAGAGGGAACATAACTTTAATATCAAATCAGACAACAATAACTAGGCCTATATACAATGAAATTACTACAGTTTTGCATTTAAAGCTGGCCGATATTTCTCAATAAAATATGCCTCTTTGGCTTCTAATAAATCATTATTATTGCTATTAAGCTTGTACATCGGAAAAACGCTAAATTTGCAACCACCACAAACATCTATATGTGCACTAAGGGGGATCATCCTATAATGTGGATTGAGTATATGATGTCGATGGAGGTTCATCCTTGTCTTTAGCATACTTATAGTTTTTCCAATGTACCGTCTATTACAGCCTGAACAAACAATCACATATATGACATAACTGGTTTTACAGTTCATGGGTTGCTTAATATGAAAGAATTTGTTATCGGTGATTTGGATTGAGGAGCCCTTAATTATTATTTTACAGGTCTTGCAATTTATTTCTCCACATTCACTTACCACCGGTGTATCTGGACTACTATTAAATTTTGAAGATGTTAAGAATTTAGCTAGATTTCGTGGCTGTTTAAGACTGTTAATAATCTTAGTTTTAGACAAAATTTTTGACATAACCTCACTATTCTTAAGGATGTGTAAATTATTATTTATCAAAGACTTCCCATCTTCTTGTGAAGGGTTAAATGTAGTGAATAAAGCAACATTTAGATTTTCGCATGCTGGGGATGTTCTTGGTAGTCTTAATTTTGTCTGATCTAGACTTAAGGCCCGAATCGTTGCATCTTCTATGAGACCTAGAGGATATTCTTGTTTCAATAAGAATGTTTTTAATTCCTCTAGTCGCTTAACTTTGACAAGCGGGTTCGAAACAATGGTACATACTCTTCTAGCTAAATTATATGGTATGTTCCGTTTGGTATGAGAAGGATGACAAGAGTGAAAGTTTAGATATTGGTGGGTATCTGTTTGTTTGTAATAAAGATCCGTTTCAATCACCCCCTTTGGTAAAAGATTAATGGTTACGTCCAAAAAGTGTAATGATGTTGGGCTAAAATCTATAGTGAATGTGATATTAGTGTCCAACTCGTTCAATAATTTATGTAATTTGGAGATAACTGTCATATCTGCTTTAAGTATTGTAACGCAGTCATCCAGGAAGCGAAACCACAGTGTTTTTATCATGTCACTGAATTCTCTATCAAACTCAATAGCAACCCTCTCATACCAAATCTCTTCTAAATAGGTGGGGCCAACTTTAGTACCCATGGCCACACCTTTAATCTGTGAATAATAATTATTATCGAAATAAAAAATGTTGTTAGACACAACTAAGTCCAAAGCTTCCAGGATAAATGATTTAGTGAAGCGTTTTGATAGCAACTCAGGATATGTGTCAATCCAATATCCAATCGCTTTCAATCCTAGATTTCTATCTATGTTGTTGTAGAGGTTGGCCACGTCGAAGCTTATTAGTGTGCTTCCCGGTTCAACCTCTTCCGGTAGATGATGAAGAAAATCTATGTCGTCGCGAAGGAAGCTTTTGACTTTGGTGCAAAATGGTTTTAATATGATGTCAATGAAGTTGCTTAAGCGTTGAGTACTACTAGTTGCCCCCCCCCCCCCTACAATTGGCCTAAAGGTTAAATCACGCGGATTGCGAATGTTAACAACTTCGGTTTTTGTAATTTTAACAGCTTCTTGAATAGTCTTGCTTTTATGGATCTTTGGCAATCCATAAAAATAGGCAGTGGAAGGTTGAAAATTACACAAGTAATCTTCTTCTTGTTTGTGAAGTATGTTTGTATGTGCACCAATAAAGTTTTGAATTTTTTGTAGAATCATATCGTTAGCTTTTAGTGAAGATTCTGCGTAATATTCCTTGTTGGAAAGCATTTTTGATATGTTCTCTTTATAAAATGAGGTATCCATAACCACTATAGCACCACCCTTGTCAGCCTTTTTTATAATTATATCAGAGCTATTTTTCAAGGCATTCAAAGCTTCTTTGTGATCCTTATTAAGATTTGATTTGAATGTTTTATTTTGGACTTGGTGCGTTGATATAGTGGTGATGAATTTATCAAGAAAAACATCCTGTCCAGCACGTGGTGTGAAGGTAGATTTGTTCCGTACTAAATATTCTGGATCTGATTGCCTTGATTCATCTAAATTGGAATCGTCTTTATGAAAATGATGTTGTAGTCTTAATTTTCTACAAAAATTTGACAGCTCAGACTTTAAAGTACATGTGTCACCTCGTGGTGTAGGGGTGAACTTTAAGCCTTTATGGAGCAATGAAATTTCCTTGTTGTTTAATGTGACACTACTTAAATTGACGACTGTTGGATCATTTTTATCTTTTATTAGTTTTTATATCGAGTTTTCGTTCTCAGGCCTCGATCTAAAAAATGGTCATTTTCCATCATGTATTCTACCGTCCTCGTTTTTGGACAGTTAGATTCACTAAAGCCTCTTTCTCGTCGTTCAGAAAAATAGTTTTGTTCTCCATACCGACGTAGACGCCTGACCTCTGTCCATTCATTATACTTGTTATTAAAAGTATTGCTTTGAGGTGATTTTCGCTGCTTAGACGTTCTTTGTGGTGACCTTCTATCTGGTGATCTTCTCTGTAGTGATAGTCTCCTCCTTGACCTTGGAGAGTTGGGGTGATCTGCATAAGATTGGTCCACGGGCATTCGATTTTCCCTTTGTTGTGGTCGGATATCTTGATTATTTTTCTTTTACCAAAGGGGGTGATTGAAACGGATCTTTATTACAAACAAACAGATACCCACCAATATCTAAACTTTCACTCTTGTCATCCTTCTCATACCAAACGGAACATACCATATAATTTAGCTAGATAAGTATGTACCATTGTTTCGAACCCGCTTGTCAAAGTTAAGCGACTAGAGGAATTAAAAACATTCTTATTGAAACAAGAATATCCTCTAGGTCTCATAGAAGATGCAACGATTCGGGCCTTAAGTCTAGATCAGACAAAATTAAGACTACCAAGAACATCCCCAGCATGCGAAAATCTAAATGTTGCTTTAGTCACTACATTTAACCCTTCACAAGAAGATGGGAAGTCTTTGATAAATAATAATTTACACATCCTTAAGAATAGTGAGGTTATGTCAAAACTTTTGTCTAAAACTAAGATTATTAACAGTCTTAAACAGCCACGAAATCTAGCTAAATTCTTAACATCTTCAAAATTTAATAGTAGTCCAGATACACCGGTGGTAAGTGAATGTGGAGAAATAAATTGCAAGACCTGTAAAATAATAATTAAGGGCTCCTCAATCCAAATCACCGATAACAAATTCTTTCATATTAAGCAACCCATGAACTGTAAAACCAGTTATGTCATATATGTGATTGTTTGTTCAGGCTGTAATAGACGATACATTGGAAAAACTATAAGTATGCTAAAGACAAGGATGAACCTCCATCGACATCATATACTCAATCCACATTATAGGATGATCCCCCTTAGGGCACATATAGATGTCTGTGGTGGTTGCAAATTTAGCGTTTTTCCGATGTACAAGCTTAATAGCAATAATAATGATTTATTAGAAGCCAAAGAGGCATATTTTATTGAGAAATATCGGCCAGCTTTAAATGCAAAATTGTAGTAATTTCATTGTATATAGGCCTAGTTATTGTTGTCTGATTTGATATTAAAGTTATGTTCCCTCTGTGTTACTATGACGCCATAATCATTATTGTATTACCAAAATGTTGATTATCTGAAGAGCTTAAAAAAATAAGCGAAAGTGCTAGTAATCGACAAATAATATAGTTCTTTTTTCAAAAACTTTTATATTTTTGTGTATGTGTATATATATATATATATATATATATATATATATAAAAGGATAAGCTTATAAATAAAATCTCCCTACCGATTTTTTATTTAGAAGCTGGTCGGATAATATAGTGGAAATCTTAAGTTTAATTTACTAGGAAGGTCATTGTGGGTGGGACAATTGAATGCCAAATCATATTTCCTGGCTAAGGAAAATTCTTGAGATTTTAAGGTGAATATTACAAAGACCATTGTTAATATACTCGACCCCAAATGTTTGAGCTAAGGAACTTGGGGCAACGAAAGTATCATTCACCTCCATGCTAAATAGTTACGTACTTTCTATTCCTTGGGCAGTGCTGCTTTGTGTTAACAGCTTTAACAATACAAATTAAATATTTATTTTACAGGTTCCGAATAAAAATAATTATTTCCTTCTTAACCGTTGCGATTAAGGCAAATATTGTTACAACTGAAAGCAGTTCAGAAACGACACATTTACCAATCTATTCGACGGAAAATGGTGAGAGCATAACGGTCACCCCTTGGTGCGACAATGAAAATACCACGGCAAATGAATCTAGTTGCCCAACAACTAATAACACAGCCATGGGGGCTACGGACGAGAAGATTGCTGCCAAAATTGATTATGTTGGTTATGTAGCAATTCCAGTTTTTCTCCTACTAGGATTAAGCGGTAATACTCTAACTATCATCGTAATGCTAAGCAAGCACTTCCGCAAAATGTCCGTTAGTATCATTCTGATTGCTTTGGCCTTCTCAGATACCATGTTGATCGTTTTGCTACCATTTAATAAAGGGTTTGTACGTGAAATACTTGCAGTTGATATACGATCTTTGTCATCCATAGGATGTAAGCTATTTTTCTTTATTTTCCGTTCTGCTAAAATGACATCCTCGTGGTTCGTGGTATTCTTGTGTTTGGAGAGATTTGTAGCCGTTTGGTTTCCTCTGAAAACTAAATTCATATGCACAAAACGGAATGCGAGCATTGGTTTGATGATTGTTTACGGATTCCTATTTAGTTTTAACGGCGCATGGACATTTGCATCACGATTAGCCAACGGAGCCTGTATTCCCCATTACCCTGAACCGGCCTATTTGTCAGCGATATTCGTCGTCTTGGGAACAATAATTTATTCGATTCTACCCATTTGTTTACTTATGATATTGACGCCCCTCATTTGTTACAAGTTATTCCAGCGTATTAAAGTGCAAAAAGCTCTCAGCTCTGGTAACCAAAATATAGGTGAAGAAGTAAGGAAAACCACCACGATGTTGATTGGCGTATCGATTGCGTACATGGTGCTTGTATCTCCCATAGCCATAGCACATGTCGTCTTTTACAATCAGGGACTCAACATCTTTGAGTCTACCGAGCCTACCATGGTCATCTACAGAGAAGTAGCTCAGATTCTGGAACAGCTTAATTATTCTATCAACTTCTTCATGTACGTCTTATGTAGCAAGAGTTTTCGTGACCGCGTGAAACTTGTACTCACCTGCCAAGAAGAACCATCCAGCAGGTACAGAAGCCAATATTCAACTAAAGCTTCGACTATCAGGGCGAAAAAAGAAGTGTGCACCGAAAAAAGTTCATCTGGAATATCAAGTGTCGATGGAAATCTAAGTGGTGTGAATTGTGCAGAAATTAATAATTCTAAACCAACCCGTGATGACTGTGATCCATAAGATGTAATGTTTATTTATTTGTTGTATTTTGTAATGTTGATTTGATATTCCATTCCAAATTCATAATATTTAATCAATTAAATAGAACATTGTGTGAAAGATCCAGATTCAAATTTGAATACACAATCATAAAATGTAAAGTAAAACTTTTAGTTACTTATTCTGGTTGATTAGGGCTTAACTAAAAGTGCAGTTTATTTTTATTGATACCAATGTACAAACTTAAAATTCACCAATAGCATATTAACTACTTAACTCTAATAGCGTTAATCAATCATGGTCGCCTTCGCGCTCGGCATAAACAACCTTTTAAACTAGTAAATGTGCAACACGGGAGTAATTTGTACATTTTAGAACGAGTATTCGTGTTACTGATTAGGCCCCTATCACACCAAACAAGTTCTCAAAAAGTAAAACCACCCTAGAAAATCGAAAAACGGGTTGTAGTAGGGATAGAATGTGTAAATAATATCTATAACACGATCCTTGTTCGTTAATAAACAGTCCTTAATAGTCTATCTCGTCTGTACCCCGTCCACACTCAGTTCAAATCATGTTCATTTCCAAGCAGCCCAAGACCGTCCAAAGTCAGTTTAAACCCATTCGTAACTAGTTCTTCCCCGTCCGCAACTGGTTTTATCTACTTTGTAAACCGTTCATCCGGTTCAGTGACAATTCAAGTCCTCATTCCGTTCTTAGTGCGTTCGTACATTGCATTTTTAATTCCTTCCTGGCTCGAGTGCTATAACATCCCGGCGCGTTCTTGACATTTATCATTCATGTTCAACGCTTCAATATGTGTAAATCAAGCCATACAAATATTGTACCACAGTTGCCTCGTGTGTTACATCATGCCTCCAAAGAAAGGTGCCAGGACTGCCCGTAGGGAAAGCAGCCACTAGTACTGCCCGAAGATCCTCGAGCTCCAGCTCCTCTGAAAATCAGCTAGATCAGGCCCTCCTTGCTGCGCCTTCCGAGCCTGTTCCTGGACTATGTAGATCTCTACACACTGCCTCAGTAGATGACAAGCAGCAGGCGTCCCTGGTGAAAGCCAAGACTCACACTGAGGTGATGGTGATCATGTGATATACCAGTCTGAGGACACGCTAAACCACAGAGAGAGTGACCAGAGGGTGCTGCTAATGGATGCTTGACCACATCACGCCGCAACGCGTCTATAGTAGCATCGAAGTGCGGCAATTCCGTTCATAGTTCGTCCATCTCGTTTTAAGTATGTTGGCACCCCGTCTAACTGCAGAAGGGGAAAAATTTTGAACACTCAAAGTTCTACATGTAGAGTACCCTTTCCACTCAAGCCATTCTGCCCAAACCCACTTGAGTCCGTAAAGTTCTAAAACAGATCGTAAACAGTTTCTACTACGTTCACGCCGTTCGCACACAGCTTCAGCCCGTTTGGCAACATTTTCCAGAACGTAGTTTGGTGTGATGGGGGCTTTAACTAAGACGTTGCCGATGGTTTATGAGATAAAATATTCACTTATGTTTCTGCTACTTCTGTATCTAAATTATACATCGAAACTGATCATTTGTTTCCGATAATTCAATTAACTCTATCAGTAGACTGGACACTTCCAGTTGTCTGTACAATACAACGCATGCGATGCAGAATAAAAAGCTTGGTTATGCAAGTCGTAATTTCGACCCTTGGTTATAACAGGCTGGAAGAAGTGTTTTCTCCGGTTATTCAAACTTCTAATGACCTGTTAGAGCAAGCGAAATAAATAAAAGACTGGGGGGTTTCGCAGCCCCTGATCCCCCACCCACCCCACACGAAGACGAAACCTACCTCTTGGCAGTGAAGAGCTAATGGCAGAGATGCAATAATGGGCTTTGCCAAAACACATATTGTAGCTGAGATATGCTGTAAATCGATTCTATCATGTTCTACACAGTCGATGTGAGGGACACTCCTTCCGCGACCCCTAACGATATAAATATTGGGTTTGTATGCTCCGCAACTCCTCAGGTTCCCATTATTTAACCGGGAAGCAAAGCAACTGGGAGAGGGGATGGTCGGATAAACCAAATATGCAAGTTAACCAAATTAAAGATTAAAATATACCGTGTTGTTTGGTGTATTATACACCACAATGACACACAAGGAACAATAAGGGCAACAAATCTATAAAGGTGATCAACATGGAACACTGAGCAAAACTGGCACTCAAAACACTTTCTAAAACAATAAACGATGCATTATGTAAGAGCTAAATATGCATATTGCACATCTTCAAATGTTATATAAACTGTTATTCACATGGCAAACCTGTAATCAACTCCCTATAACATCGGATGGCCGAGATTTATCGAAAAAATGGATAATGGAGTTGCTACAATAATAAACAAAATGTACATCTTTAAACAGAAAAAAGGCAATTTAAATGAATGAAACTATAATGGCAAGAAGGGCTAGCTCTTTATCTAAATCTAACATAATGCATCTTTAATGAACCATCCTCAAAATATATATAGAGAATCTCCTACCAGTCTTTTTTGATATCCAAAAATATCAACACAAGTTGATAAAGTAACAAAAAACGAGGCTCTGCCGAGTTTTTTTTTTTACTTTATCAACGAGTGTTGATATTTTTTGATATAAAAAAAGACGAGTAGGAGATTTTATTTATCACCCAATCCCTTCTTACATGCACAAATAGATAAATATAATTCTTTGCTATAGATTTCACTTTTACTGAACATTACGGCGTATTGATACATCATTTTTTGACAGCAATTCAACCATTGCAAAGTCCTTTATATTGACTTAGTGTTTCCATTAAGGTCAATTGAATAACAATAGTTCATTTTTATACGCCCACGTATGTCTGGACGTCCGTCCGTCCACAATTTGTTTGTGGACACTCTACAGGTCACAATTCTTATCCGATTTTGACGAAACTTGAAATATAGGTTTATCGCCAAAAGATCTCGGCTGCTTTCGATATTGGCATGTATCAGATGGAAACTTCATGGATTATGGCCCCTGTTTGTACGAAAAATCACGTTTTTAGCTTGTGGACCCTATAGAGGTTACAATTTTTATCCGATTTTGTTAAAACTTGAAATGTTAGTTTATAACCCAAAGATCTCGGTTCGTTTCGATATTCGCGCATATCAGATCGTAACTTCCTGAATTATGGCCCCTGATTGTACGAAAAATCACGTTTTTAGCTTGTGGACCCTATAGAGGTCGTAATTTTTATCCGATTTAAAAAAAAACCGTATTATTATATCACCGTTACACCCTAAGGATGGCCCAAAATCGGCCCAAAATTGACAGAAAAAAATGGCCGCCATTCGTTCTCAAATAGCGTAAAAATATGGTATATCAAGGTTGTGGACCCTATAGAGGTCACAATTTTTATCCGATTTTCTTGAAACTTGAAATGTAAGTTTATACCCCAAAGATCTCGGTTCCTTTCGATATTCGCGCATATCGGATCGTAACTTCCTGAATTATGGCCCCTGATTTTACGAAAAATCACGTTTTTAGCTTGTGGACCCATTAGAGATCATAATTTTTATCCGATTTAAAAAACCGCATTATTATATTACCGTTACACCCTAAGGACGGCTGAGTTCGAATTTTGTGAAAATCGGCCCAAAATTGACAGACAAAATGGCCGCCGTTCGTTCTCAATTAGGGTAAAAATATGGTATATCAAGGTTGTGGACCCTATAGGTCACAATTTTTATCCGATTTTGTTGAAACTTGAAATGTTAGTTTATAATCCAAAGATCTCTGTTCCTATCGATATTCGTGCATATCGGACCGTAACTTCCTGAATTATGGCCCCTGATTGTACGAAAAATCGCTTTCTTTTTAGCTTGTTCTCTATCCATCTCTCGAAAATGTGGGCATATCCTGCCTGGCAGCCGCTGGTTTAATAAAAAAAAAAGTTACTTTTAATAAGAAATGAACTGTTCTTTGAAAATAATAAAAACTACTTCCTCTTCAACTGACCAATCTCCTAAGGAGATATCGCAGTAGATTATGAAATATATCACACAAGCGATATCTACTGTAGAATGTATTATTGGGTGATAAATTACAGGTAACAACTATACAAACTTAAAAAACAATTTATAACTTGACGACTTATATGGATTAAATACAATTCATTAAAAAACCCAATTTCAATGTGTCTGCAGAGTTTCAACATGATCAACGAAAACTCGACGTGAATTGCACAGAAAATAATTCAACGTTCTTGAAATAAACTATAAGACTAATTATTGGTCTCAAAATGTTGGAACCGTAGGGCGGGACATATGCACGATCATCGCCATTTCATTATACGTAATTTTGATTTTTGGTGAAATTTGGTCTATACGCTTACTTTAACTGTGCAATCTGGTATTCTAAATTTCAGCTGGATGGGAGTGGCGGTTCCTGAGATATGGCCCACTGAAATTTGGCGGTTTTGGTTAAAATGGGCGTGGCCGCCAATATTCAAATCCCGAAGCCCTGTAACCGATTGGTTAAAATTTGTGAAATGGGTACTGTACGAGCGTATTTGACACACGGCCCTTTTAAAGGGTGATGATTTTATGATCTTTACTGTGACCTTGAACAAACGAATGTTAAATATTTTGGAATCCTTACAGAATTACCTACACCCAATTTGCCTAGTATAGCCAAATTTCCATTAGTCACATCTTAGGAACCGTTACTGCTGTTTGAATTGGTTCCGAGACCAAACCCCTATTATGTTTTTCGGTATGGTAACAGCCACGCTCGTGAAGACTAATAATTACGTGTTCGAAAAGTTTTGTGGTATAAAGCCCTGGGGGTTACTTGACGCAAATTCAGAAGCTAAGGAGGGTTGGGGCCACACACTTTAAAGTGTCGAGAACACAATGCAATGCTTCGATCATTTTGAGACTAACATATAGTATTTTGATTAGTTGTTGTGGATATGTGTGCAATGCGAGGATGAGATGTTTTCCATGGATTAAAATATTGTAAAATATCTTAA